ACGTTCTGATCCATTAGTTAAAAGAGAGTTGTCGTTTTTTGCCGAAAGAACAGCTACTTTTACCTTCGTAAGGAATTCAAGGTCTCTATGTGACCAGAGGCATTGTCGAGCATAAATCACTCTGCGCTTCAAGTTATTAAATCAAAGTGATAATATAAGAATATTAAATATTTTATTTGATTGTGACCAAGTGATATGTTCTTGAGTTCGGATATCTGCCGTTTGATGAAGATAAAGTTTGTCAGAAAATAGAAAGCGTTATGACGTATCTGTTTTGTACAGGGTAACTGTGTATTAGTGTAGTTGTAGAACCGTGATAGCGAAATTTTAATTCTTGTGAAGGTAAAGTTTTGCATGTCCTTTCATTGTTCTTCTGTGTGTCATGCTCCTCCCTCTATGATCACTCCGTCGTTGAGACGATTATTTACGCTTAAAACCTCCTTTCTTTCGCCTAGTTCTATAGACCTTGTTTCTGTTTCTTATATGCATGTCTTACAGTAAGGTATGAAAATATTTCATTCACTGGTTGTCACTTTCTCATTAGCCAGCAGTTTGAATTTTCCCAACGGATGTTTATGACTGCCTTACCGCCTACAGCATATGAACTCGTTTTGCTGTAGCATGCAATCTTCTACTTTTGTCCTTGCCTACTCCTCTTCACAGTATGAACGCGACGACATGGATTTGCGAACTTTATGATGTCTGTAAATCAGTGGTACCGTAGACTTAGGGTTTGTATTGTTACTTCCTGACGATGTGACTTTTGTTGAGTAATTTCAGTAATTTAGTCCAAGTAAACCTTTTATGTACAAATGTTGTCCTTTTAACACCTAATAAAAATTAGCAATCGATGTGTGACTCAGTACAGATTTCAAACGCTGTTTGTTTTCACATTTCCGTATTTAATCCATATTGTTAATCTTTCATGAATCAGAACTGGTCCTATAATGGACTGGTGGTACTCGGTTTGACAGAGCTTCATATACTTTTAAAGCAACTCTATATGGAAAAGGACACTTTAATTATAAATTGGGGTAGGCGGATGGAAGCTTATCTTCGCGTCACTGTCTGTCGTCGAAGAAAATGTAGTAAGAATTTGCCACCATGCATTTCAGAGTCCATTTTGGATAGACAAAAGCCAGGAAATTGCGTAGCTAAGATCTTACCCAAGGCAGTAAATAGGAATCCTGCGGGTTCAAATGCCATGTGTGGCCTAAATTTTCCTATTAACTAATGATTTTCTTGTGCTTTAAGAATATCCCACTTCTGTCTATTCGCCTAAAATCGAGTAGTGATTCAACGACCTGCGAAGATTAAGGAGCATTTGGTGTTGTTATGTGAGAGATTTATGGCCAAACTGTTCTGTGCATGCGCTTCAGATGTCCAAAAACAAGTACAAGTTAACTATAAATTAAAAATTGAAATTTTTTAATTAATCACGGTGTCGTCGTCTTTCCGAAAATGAACGTTTTATATCATTTTGTCATGATATGGTTCGTTTTCT